CGGCCGTTATTGTACCTGTACCATCCTTTTGAAAGACCGGCTTCAAGGTTGGCACCTGAAAGTTCAAGTCGTTTCTTGAGTGGTAAATTTTATTCTTATTCTGATTGTTGTTCATAATCGTAGAGTCAGCCAGTCCTCATCGACAACCATATACTCACAAAAACACGTTATGAATCTTAATTAATTGAAATTGAAACAAAATTATGCTCTCATAATAAATTGCAAAATGATTATATTAAAATTGCCCTTCATAACGTATTATTGGAATAATGTCTGATTCGAGCACTAGTACTGAACAACTCTCTGAATTATTTCAAAATTCATTTTATGAGAACGATTCATTTTCCACTGATCACCTTTGACGCAATAAGCCGTTTGAATTCTTCATCTCTGCTGAGCACGACTGATTGTGCACCTCGTTTTTGGGGTACTGAGACTGCCACTACTTCGGCGTTGAAGAGACCCTCCTTGAAAATGAGAAAATTACATCAAATACTTCATCATATGGAAAAATTTTAGGTGATCATATTGTATTGTATAAACTGTCGGTTTTATTTAGGAAAATTCAGAGCAATAATACGAATAAACGTAACAGTAATGATAAAAATGATAGCAAAACAACAACTCACTTGCCATGCTCGATCGGCTCTTTGGTAACTTTCAATAGCATACTTATCAAGTTGTTCCCTTGTGAAGCCGTATTCTTTGACAGTCTTTTCGGCGCATAAACCCATCGCCTCATTCTCCAGTGAATCCGTGAGACCATCCTTTTGAACACCATCCTTCAAAGTGAGATTTCCGATGACTTTATTCGAGAAACAATTTACATGGAATTCATTTTTCTATGCAATTGAAAACGGTTGGTTACAATGATGAAGAAACACTCACTGTGAGCTGTATGCCACCATACGGAATCTCTCCCCGGGGTATATAAAATGGAACATTGCTCATACTTTCCGTACCAGTGGCCATTACTACTTGACGTTGACCCAACTGAATCTGTTGTGCACCCAGCATAATTGCTTTCATACTTGACGAGCACACTTTATTTATTGTGAGACATTGAGCACTTTTTGGAATACCTGTAAAGTTGATGTCAAACTGGATGATTCCAGTGATTTATTGTATAATTTCGGTAATTTTGCGGTTATTTGAAGATTACTTTAACTCATTGGTACCATTATTACTTAGGATCACATATAAACAAAACAATAAGAGCGAATAAAATTTAATGTTTGAACTGACTGACCTGATAAGATTGAAATTTGCCTAGCGATATTTTGCCCTAAACCCGCACTCAAAACATTTCCTACGATTGTTTCGTCGATATCAGAGGCTTTCAACGCTGGAAAGAAGAAATTAAAAAATTGCTATCGTTCCAATGACGTATAGAGTTGTAATGAGTTGAAATATGAACACATCATAAATATCAAGAGGAATTAATAGAAATGTTCTGATCCGATCTCATTTTATCCGGTTTTGTTTGTTTTCTTCATATTCATTTCGACTGTATATTAGAGGTTCGATTCTTAGTTATTATTGTTCCATCAATTGACTGTTTCCATCATATGGATCGTCGGAAACTGTTTTTCGCAAATTACATTCCGTGTTTGTTTGTTTGTATAGTTAAAATTACATTTGTATATGATGTTAAAATTTGATGAGAATAAAATTTACAGTGTTTTAAAAATGCACCAACAAACAATATGACAGTAATAACAATTGTTCTTTTCTTATAAGTGTTGTTTTATTTGGGAGAGATTTTTGAATCGAGATTATGAGGTAACTGACATGATCTTGCAATCGCTTCTTTGGTTACAACAACACCCAAGTCGACGGCTGATAACGGCGTTAAAGTTGAACGAAATGAAGCGATCGGTGTTCGAACGGCAGACACAATATATACTTCCTTTAAAAATGGCTCATTTTTGTTTAAGGATACATTATTATTCTTTGAAATTTTCACTAATTTTCGTTGTGTAATATGAGGAAGTGTGCAACAAATGTTCAAATGATTCTGCTTGAAATCAAATTTTGTTGAAAAGTAACCTTTAACTGGATAGTATTCATTCTTTTGAATTGAAAATAAGATGATACAAATTCAACAATTCCAACAAATTGATGAGTTCTGATGAAGTGAAATGAGAAGTATCGTCAAGTCTGGTCACTGAATCAAGAGATTCTAACTGGAATGCACATATGAATGACGAAAATTTATTCTGGTTTACGAAATTGCACTAATTAATCGATATGTGCAAAAAAAGCGCTGTTTCCATGCGTTTAACTTGCTGAAAATTAAATTCTCCGTTCACAATTTGAATTCCCTCATAATGTAGAATAGTTCAACAAGATCGCCAAGCGATAGTTTCATTGCAAAATTCAACTGACATTCAAAATTCTTCTAAACTATTTTAGCACCAACATAACGAATGATACAAGAAGCATAAACTAGTGAATTTCAACGATAATGAGGTTGAAACTAAAGGCGTCAAGACCAGACTATCGGAATCCATCGATTGATGTTATCAGTCTGAACATCATTCACTGTAGAGATTGATCAGATGGTAGTATAGAGTGTGTATGATAAAACGAAAAGTTAACTGTGAACTGATTCAAAAATAATCACATGAAGTGCAAAGCAGGCAACTAATTCGATTAGTCCATTAGGCAAACAACGTTTTGTAAAATAAACTTGATTCGCGAACTCAAGCAAAGAACGTTACCAACGAACACACTCAACACTACAACATATCATCAAAATCATTCATCCATTACGAGCAGTCTCGATCGTTTATGAAGTAATTCATCTTCGCAATACATTTAGCATGAAATTATTGATGGAAGTATCGAATAAAATTACAAATTGAATAGAGCATTTTTTAAATTACAATGAGAAGTAAAGAATTTACGTAATGGTATGTGTGATTGTATTCGATTATGAACAGTCTACATTTATTGTTAGTTGACGCGTTCAAATAGAATGCATACGAGCAAATATTACATGGCCACCTTGTTGATAAGGTGATAACGTGTAATGAGTAATTTTCAGAAGTGATTCAATAATAGTTATCAATTCCTTTGTAAAGTGGTACGATTGATCACGCCATCTGATTCTCAGCACATCTAATGCGAAGCAGTCACTTGAATGCTTAGTTCCTTATCACTTATCAAACATCCAGCTGATATAATGCAGACAGTTTTTTTTACTTCTGGTAAATTCATTTAATGAATGCCGAATGAAACAGGGAACATACAGTACATCTGATTAGTTCGCATTGATTCAATGCTTTTCGATTAAACTGAGACACTAATGAATGAGAGGTGCCAAGAGATTATATTATATGATACTATAAACTATTCTAATGAAACATCAGATAAGCTTCCGATAAAATTCTATAGTTCTTAAAATGAAATTCCTTGTTACGAGTTTATCATTTATCGACAGAATATTCAGGCCATCCTTATAAGGATGACTTGAATATTGGCCTGCATAACCCGTCGATATCTGAGATCTTGTCTAGAAAAGTGTAGAATGTTATTGTATGCACAAGTACCAGAAGCTTAAGTGGCATAGGTGCTGTTATTGTATGTACATTGGATAAGTAAAGCCAAACGTAGCCCTGAGCCTATATTTAAGTTAAGATTGAGACTCTGGCTTAACCTTATGTCAATAAAAATTCTTTAGTTATCGCCATTCCTCGTTTTTCCCACCCGATTGCCACCATTCTGAAGGATATGATCCGCAACAGATCAGATTTGCGACATTACGGCATTATGACTAGCACATGCATTTTGAAAGTCTACATGTTGAGGCCATCATCAGAATTCTCATAATGCATCCAAAAACACGCTCAATTTCTATGGTTTTCTTATACAGTACCATCTCCGGCATCAATCGAGTTTAGAGTTTCACTTGTGACAAACCTCTTTCCGAAAAAGATTTCTTCCCTTTGATGCTCACAAATAATCTCTCAGATCACTGCTGTAATTGTTACGATACACCTAGAAATGCCAGTCAGCCAGTTCGCTTAGCAATTCTGTAATTGTTATTGCTGAATGCATCACCGCATATGAGTTACAAAAGGCTCTTCTCTAACTCAAGTAGTACGTAAACATACAAATGCTTCTCATGTGCAATCCCTCATTTACAAAAGAACAACAACAACAACAACAAAAAACTGGAACTGCCTCGGGGGATTTCAATATAATCGTTCAAAAGGGTGATGTAAGTGTATTCGCATTAAAATTGCTACTTATCTGATTATTTCCATCTGCGATGTGCGTTTTCTTTCATTCGTTGCTCGTCCGCTCATTCAATGGTTTGTATTTATTTCATTTTATTTGTATATTCCTTAAATTGTGCTCATCACCGTTCAGTGTCATTTAGTATGGTATCAACAAAAAAAAAACAGCAAAATTATACTTCGCGAATCAGCACATGCACTAAAATTGCATGCATGTGCGTTCATACGTAATAATTACTGTGCATTACGTTCTTGACTTTTTCAATATGTTCGCTTCTGTTTGCCAACCAACGTCTCACTGTTTTGTCCTATTTTCCGGTTAATTGCTTCTGCAGAGTTTCTTGAAATTGCTGTTGAGCAATTTGGCTGAGGTAATGTTCTTTTAAATCGATCCTATTCAAATGATTGCTCGGTTATTCGGGCTGACAATAGGCGAGATAATATCAACTAGTTGANATAATAACATTATTAAGAATGTGCATGATCAATACGATAGCGTCGCTAAACGAATCGCTCATCACTTACGCAGTGAAATGTCATTAATAGTGCTTATGATCAATTGCTGTTCATAGATTACATTTAGTGTTACATTTCAAAATGACGACGGTCTATTAAGCTGAAATTTCCACTGGATTGCTATTGAAAGAATGAGAAAGTAACGTTCACTCTAGGAGTTCATCACCAACAATTGTAATTTGCCATTATTGGTCATGATTTTGCGAGTTAGAAATGGAGAACATCAACGGAGGTATAATCCGCAATTGCTCATTCTTATTCAAGTGTTCATCAGCAAGCGGAGAATTTGTATGAGTTTTGAGAAAATCACATCAGCAAGACGAGATTGAATCAGTTGATTGCATGACAACGAATCAATACGATGACGATACACAACTGGTTTTATGAAACAGAACGTTGATTGAAATCAATAACAATAATATAACAATACTAATGAAAATAATTTTAATGGAAAGAACGTGAATAATATTTTGTATTTTCTTGCTGCATGCACTTGATAGCATCAACACTAATGATAATGATCAATTTGACTTAAACCAATTTCTAGCTGTTTATTTTTTGTTGTGTGACGTTGATTTTTTGCATTTCTCGTTCGCTTTCGTCTACTGAATCAACATTCCATTGGAGTTCTCTTGATCAGTCACTCAAGCATGAGTGACTGATGATACTCTAAGCATTATCGCACAGCAGGTGGTAACATTCCGTTTTCAATTTTCTCTAATTGAAATTGTGACTGTCTTAATTTTTTAGACACCTTGCTTCGGTTGAAAAATTGCTCAACGTTCCAGAAGAAGCCATTCAAGGAATTTGCTGCTGCGTTGTTGAATTCTAAATTTAGTGCACGATCATTACAATATTCATTCGTGAGTGATCAAATACGCTATGAGAGTGATTAAACATATTCAGCAAAGATATTAAAGGATC